AATAAAAGGTATTTTGTATTTATTAATAAGTAATTTAGTATCTTGTGGAACAGTATTTTGAGAGTACAAAAAATTCCCGTTCTTCAACCAGCATTTACCCATTTAACACCCAGATGATTCTTGCCTAAATCAGTTATTACTAAGTTGGCTGCCAGGAAGTGATTTTCTAAATTCCATCATTCCTTCTATGTTTATTAGTTGGCCTGGCATCCATATATATAAAAGCCTAAGCGACTGGCCGTTAGCTATGATGTACACTGACCATGACGGGGCAGAGACTCAACGCAGGAGCTGCTGAGTGACAGCAACTTTGCAGAGTGCTCTCTTGCACTTCGGGACCCCTAGGGGTATGTCAGACTGCTGATGTCGGACTGCTGGTTTTGGCCCGATCCCCACAGGCCAGGTCAAGGGACCCTACTGGTGCAGAATCTGTGCTCCGGGCCTCTAGTTTTACTGTAAGATAGAGTTTCTCTAAAAGTATTCATTTTTAAATCAATCTGTACTCAGAGATTACTGGTGTTTTGTTTTTGTTGTTTTTTTTGAGGGGACTGGAGTCTGTTCCTATCCTCATTTAATAGTCAAGTTGTCTCAGTGTTGGCAAGCACGAATCCTAGCTGGCTCCTGTAGCCTAATGGCATGTCTTCTTCAATCTTTGAGCCATTTCTTACTTTTTAGCACATAATATCCTAGGCTTACCTTTTCTCTTTCCCAGTCCTGGACTCAGACTTTTCTCTAAGCAATACTTTGTGAATGTATTTTGAAACCAAGACTTGAGCTGTAGGTGTATTCATTGCTTCTAGGCCCTCTCAGCAGACAGAGCTATAAAACATATGTACGTTTATGTTCATTTATGTGAACAAATACATACATCTTTACCTATTTATATATCTATATCAGAGGCTGACAAACTATAGCGCAAGGACCAAATCCAGCTAGTCACCTATTTTTGCAAATGAAGTTGTACCGGAATAGAGCCATGTCCATTTGTTTATATATTATCTTGCCTTACAACTGCAGGATCAGTTGTGACAGAAACTGTATGGCTCCCTCTCATCTCTGACATACGTGTCATAGGTTCGCCATCACTGGGATAGGGCCTCGGCCTGGGGACTGAAGGGTCCTAGGTTCTATTCCGGTCAAGGGCATGTACCTTGGTTGTACCTTGGCAGCTGATCGATGCTTCTCTCTTATCGATGTTTCTAACTCTCTATCCTTCTCCCTCTCTGTAAAAAATCAATAAAATATTTTAAAAATAATAATCTACTTATATTTTATATAATTACTATAGACCTGGTGCACAAAATTTGGGCATGGGGGTGTCCCTCAGCCCGGCTTGCAATGACGCCAGCATCCCGCGCCCCGGCCGGCCACTGGCCAGAAGCCCGCCCAACCTTCCTCCCTCCATGGGCCAGGGCACGTGGGAGGCTGGGTCTCATCACCAGGGTGACGCCGGCAGCATCCAGCACCCCGGCCACTATGGGCACCGCCATATTTGTGACGGAGTGATGGTTAATTTGCATATTACCCTTTTATTAGATAGGATTATTAATTTCTCCAGAGTAAATATGTCAATTTCCCCTAAAACTTCTGAGATTTTGATTAGAAGTGTATTGTATTTGTACCATAGTTCTCTTATTTCTAAGGAATGGGTTGGCACTCAAATCTTAGAATGGTGGGAATTATAAGCTTGGAACTTGAATGAATGCCTCCTTTTTCTTCATAGCAGTAGGAGCAGCCAAGAACTATTTCCATTCTTGGCTGATCCCCAAATACTTCCTGGGAATGTATAAGCTTGCTCCCTTCTCACAGAGCTCACTATTTAGAATGAATACAGATTCCATATTGGCTTTTCTTTTTGAAATATGGCATGCCATATAAAGTATATAAGAAATAGGGTTTATACTGCTTCCACATTCTTCTTTACTGAAAATTTTAAAAGGAAGCAGACACATTGGGAACAGTCCTGAGTGGAGCTATGTAAATTGAATTGTGTGTTATATTTGTGATATATAATTTTTTAACATTTTTTTTTGCAGGATGCCATGGCTTTTAATAAGTTTAATGTTCTCCACTGGCACATAGTCGATGACCAGTCTTTCCCTTATCAAAGCACCACTTTTCCAGAGTTAAGCAACAAAGTGAGTAATTTATGTTGCAGTCTGTTTACAAAAAGTTTTGGTAGCTTCATTAGAAATTTCTAGCTTTAATGTTTCTGATGGATAGAATTAAAGTGTAAAAGTTAGATATTTGTGGTTTTAAATGTTTTTTTATTAGGCTGTGACTTAGCATTTTATTTTTTAATTTTTATTTATATTAAAAATATGTTTATTGAGTTCAGAGAGGAAGGGGAGGGAGAGAGAGAAACATCAATGATGAGAATCACTGATCAGCTGCCTCCTGAATGCCCCCTACCAGGGATTAAGCCCACAACCTAAGTATGTGCCCTTGACTGGAATTGAACCCAGGACCCTTCAGTCTACAGGCCAATGCTCTATCCACTGAGCAAAACTGGCTAGGGCTGACTTAGCATTTTAGATCTATAAACCTGTTCCATTTTTCTAATTGTTATAAATGTAAACAATCTGTAGGGGCTATATAAATAAAATTTTAAAACCTTAATGAATATAGGAAACCTTGACACATTTCATGATTCTCATAAGGTTAAGAAATTATATTTATCAGGTAGTCCAACTGTTTATTTGTTTTAAACACTTATTTTGAATTCTCTAAATGACTTTCTTTTTCTCTCTGAAAAACTACCAGAAGTAGGAAATTGTAGATATCAGAACGCCTTCTTAGAAAATAATGGTAGTCTTAGAGTGTTCAAATTGATTGTATTATAGACGAGTGGAGATGGGAATGAGCTTCAGTATCATCTACTTTAATCCCATATAATCCAAAAGCAGTAACCGAGAAGCTATATGCCTTGTCCCAAGTTGCAGTTAGGAAGGGGCAGAACCAAGACTCAAAATTTCATTCTCTGTCCGTAATTCCAAAGCTTTCTCTAATGTTACAACACAGTGTAGGCTGAAATGCTAGCAGCACTCCTGTTTGTGTTTGCTTTTGTCTTACGTTTTATTATGGAAATTTTTAAACATCCACAGAAGTAGAATAATTTAATGAATTTCCATGTCCTCATCACCCAGCTTCAATAGTCAGTACAAGCCAAACTTCTATCACCTGTACTTCCCCCGCCAGTATTCTGAAGCAAATCCAAGACGTCCTATCTCATTTGTGAAGGGGCTGTTTAAAAGCAACAACAAAAAACACCAAAACATTATTGCAGCTAAAAAAATTAAAAATCTAGACAGCCGTTTCCCAAAGGCCTTTTTCTTTTTTCTTTTTTTAAAATATATTTTATTGATTTTTTACAGAGAGGAAGGGAGAGAGATAGTTAGAAACATCGATGAGAGAGAAACATCGATCAGCTGCCTCCTGCACATCTCCTACTGGGGATGTGCCCGCAACCCAGGCACATGCCCCTGACCGGAATCGAACCTGGGACCCTTCAGTCCGCAGACCGACGCTCTATCCACTGAGCCAGACCGGTTTTGGCCAAAGGCCTTTTTCTTAAAAAGAAAAAAAATAATTGCACTGAGGTACAAGTAAGGTCCATACATTGTGGTCAGTTCATATAGAAAGGAGAACAGGAGTGGGATTGGGGTGGGGTGGGGAAGAGAGAGAGAGGCTGGTTGCCTCCTGCATGAGCCCTGATGGGGAGCAGTGAGCACACCACAGCCCAGTTACAAACCCTTGACCAGGAATTGAATCCACGACCCTTTAGTAAGTTCAAGGGCTGATGTTCTAACTGCTGAGCAATACCAGCCAGAGTCTATCTCTCTCTCTTTTTAAATATATATTTTTATTGATTTCAGAGAGGGAGAAAGAGATAGAAACATCAATGATGAGAGAGAATCATTGATTGGCTGCCTCCTACATGACCCATACTGGGGATTAAGCCTACAACCCAGGCATGTGCCCTGACCAGGAATAAACCATGACCCCCTGGTTCATAGGTCAGTGCTAAACCACTGAGCCATTCCATTTGGGCTTTTTTCCCTTAGAATTTGTTATTTTTTGATGAAGAAAATAATTTCTCCAAATAGTTTCCCATAGTCTGAGTTTTGCTAATTGCATTCCCAGTGTCAGTTAACATGTTCTTCTGTATTTACTTTAAACTGGTGGACTGGATATTAGATCTAATCTTGATTAGACACAAATTTGATTTGGGGGATGGAGCAAGGCTAATTTTAGGAGTTGAGCATTTATATTTATATATTACATATTCTAGAGGCCCGGTGCACGAATTCGTGCACCAGTGACGTCCCTGGGCCTGGCCTGCAGGATTGGGCTGAAACCGGCTCTCCAACATCCCCGGAGGGGTCCCAGATTGCAAGAGGGTGTAGGCCAGACTGAGGAACCCTAGCGGTGCACGGAGGGATGCGGGAGGTTGGCCAGCTGGGGAGGGACCCTGGGAGAGCTCCGGGGTGTGTCCAGCCTGTCTCGCTCAGTCCCGATTGGCCAGACCCCAGCAGCAAGCTAACCTACCAATCAGAGCGTCTGCTCCCTGGTGGTCAGTGTATGTCATAGCGAATGGTTGAGTGGTCTTAGTATATTATTAGCACGTTACACTTTGATTGGTTGAACAGATGACCGGACACTTAGCATATTAGGCTTTTATTATATAGGGGGATATTTATACCTTGAGAAATGTGCTACAGTAATACCTTTAATGGACCTTTATCTTTAGTTACAACCAGTATTGAGTTCTAGTTTTTCAAGTGACCTATAAAGAAATTGAGGGTAGCCTTAAAGAAATAGCTGGTCACTTACCAGAGTGTTTCTGGGGGAATTTTTAAAGCTGATAGCAATTAAAGTGACTTTACGAGAAATAGTTATGCTTTGTAGTAACCTGTAATCTTTTATTCTAAGTTGCCAAGGGCAATGTATTTCATTTTCAGAGGTTTCACTTTGGGATCAAACATTTTATTTCTGTCTTGTATGGTTACATGAGGTTGACACAGAATAATGGAAGACATTCCTGAAACAAGAGGGGTTATTTTAGATAGATCTATCAGTAAATGTGGAATTAATCTAAAGTATGCTGAAAGCTTATGGAGATAAGATATGGTAAGTAATTTAAATGAGTCATGCAACGTCACATGGACCTATTTAATACATTGTGATACTGAAAAAAATCAACTATGAGATATCAAATTGCAATCAGGACTGTTAAGTTTTCAGGATGCATTTCATACATTTAAATTTTAATCAACGTGGTTTTTACAGGGAAGCTATTCTCTCTCTCATGTTTATACACCAAATGAAGTCCGTGAGGTGATTGAATATGCCCGATTACGGGGGATTCGAGTCATACCAGAATTTGATAGCCCCGGACATACACAGTCTTGGGGAAAAGGTATGTGTTTTATGAGTTGCAAAAAGTGAACATTTGAGGTCCTGCATCTCTTATTTTATGACTTGGTGTTGGCTCATTTTGTTCTTAGTTGTGATTTACACAAAAAGTAGCACTATAGCCGAAACCGGTTTGGCTCAGTGGATGGAGCCTCGGCCTGCGGACTGAAAGGTCCCAGGTTCAATTCCAGTCAAGGGCATGTACCTTGGTTGTGGGCACATCCCTAGTAGGAGATGTGCAGGAGGCAGCTGATTGATGTTTCTCTCTCATCGATGTTTCTAACTCTCTCTCTATCCCTCTCCCTTCCTCTCTGTAAAAAAATCAATAAAATATATTTTAAAAAAAGTAGCACTATTGACAAATAACAATTCAGTAACTATTATGTGTCTGTTGTGAGCGAGTTGCTGTATCTAGGGGGCGTGCAGGAGGCAGCCAATCAATGATTCTCTCTCATCGTGGTTTCTCTCTTTCTCTCTCCCTCCCTCCCTCCCCCTTCCTCTCTGAAATCAATAAAAGTCACACACACACACACACACAAAGAAATGGTTTTATGGATGAGCTAACACTTACAATGCTTCTGAGAGATTAAAGAATATATTTGTGTTTCTGGTGGAGGGAATCACATGAGAAAAGGCAGAGTAGGAGGAATTTTTATTGCAGGGTGGTTAAGAACGGGCTCTGGAGCCAGACTGTCTGGGCTTGAATCCTGCTTCTGCTGCTTATAACTGAGTGACCTTGGACAAATTATAGAACATCTCATCCTCAATTTCCCCATCTCTAGAATGGGGGAATGTTAGCAGTAGTTACCATGTCACTTTTTGAGGATTAAATAATGAATGTAAAGCACACAGTACAGCCACTAACATTTATAACTGTTCAATAAATACTATTAGGGCAGACATGGAGTAGACATGGAGAACAGTGGGAAACAAATCTGGAAAAGTGCAATGGAGAGGTCTTGCCTGAGGAATGTGGTCTCTTCATCGGGATGCGTAGAAACCAGTGAAAGTTATAAAGCAGAAGAGTGACAGAGGGAGCCACACTTCAGGAAAACCAAAGTGAAAGTGACAGATTGGAAGGGGAAAGACACTGAAGTCCTAATGGAAAATAATGTACAAAACTGGGAGACATTTTGGAAAAATAATCCATAGAATTTGGCAACTTATTGACTTTAGGAGGAAGGGGAAGAGTATAGACTGGGAGGGTGGTGGTGCCCTTACCAGAATACAAAGATCAAGAGAAGCTCCTGGAGGAGCTTAGGGAACAGAAAATTTAGTTTTTGTTGGATTGTATTTGAGTGCAGATAGGATATTTAATTGTGTTGAGTTTTTAATTGTGTTGAGCAAGGAATCTGAAATATGGATGGAAGCCCAAGAAAGAATTGGGGCAAGCTGAAGATTTGGGAATCATTAGTCAAGATACTATTTGAAGTGGGTAAAATCTCAGAGGCTGATGGAAAGGTAAAGAGGTATCTGGATAGGATTCGGGAAACAGTTCTCCAACAAAAGAAAGCCTATGGTCATGTGCTAAGCCATATCTTTGTAATCAAATTACTTTTTAAGGAAAGAATCTTCTTGTTTTTCCCCAGGTCAGGAAGGTCTCCTGACTCCATGTTATAGGTCTTATCAGCCTGAAGCTTCTGGACCTATAAACCCTACTGTGAATACAACTTACAGTTTCCTGTATAAGCTCTTCAAAGAAATCAGTTGGGTGTTTCCAGATCAGTTCATTCATTTGGGAGGAGATGAAGTGGAATATGATTGTTGGTATGACAATTCTTTAAAACCCTTATTTTCTTTAACCGTTGCATTTGAAGTAGGTTTAAAGGCCTCCACATAGAAAGGAAAGATTTGGGATATCATCTCTGCTTGCACGGTTTTCATTTGGCAACACAACTCCTGAGATGGTGAATTTGGAGTGGTATGAGAAAACAAAAGCTTTTAGGAAGGAGAATCAAAATGCACAAGAGAATGGAGACTTAACAAAAAAAGACTATAGTGAATGAAAACAGCTTTAGTGAAAGAGGGCAGTGAGTAAGTGAGGGGGATTTTTCAAATAAAAAATCCTCTTTGCGAATAGCCATAAATGGAGGAGAGAGGCAGGAGGTGGGGGAAGCCATTTTTACAAAAAATCAGCTTCTGGAAAAAATTATTTGTTGTGGAAAACAAAGATAACTCATAACTAAGTTTTTAAGCTTATTTTTACTCTACAACTTTAACAGTTTTAAATTGGCACAAATGATGGTAAGATGTACACTGCCTTAAATAGATTGGGCATATCAAACTAATGAAATTTTAATTGTTTTTTTTTAAGGGAGTCCAATCCAAATATCCAGACTTTCATGAAGCAGAAAGGCTTTGGCGCTGATTTTAGTAAATTAGAATCCTTCTATATTCAAAAGTAAGTTACTTGAAAGCCTACTTAATTTCATGAATGCCTTTTGTAAAAGTTTTAGCTATGACTAGTACTGCTTCATTTTCTCTCCACCCCTTGCTAAAGTGTAGATGTTGTATACTTTGCATGAAAAATCATAAAGAAGGAAGCATGATCCACTGCTTTCTTCAAATTAGTTAACATGGTAACTCTAAGCCTTTTGCAGTAACGACAGGACAGCAGTCATGTGTTCTAGGAACCCAGCTGAAAGCCCTTGGCTACCCTATGAGTCCTCGCCACCATCCAGCCCCTGTAATTCATTTCCAGGACCATTTTTTTACTTTATATCTGTTTAGTACGGTAGCCATGGCCACATGTGGCTATTTGCATTTAAGTTAAAGGAATTAAAAATTCAGTTCCTTAGTCACATTAGCCACATTTCAAATGTCCGATAGCTGGATGGGGTTAGTTAGTGGCTCCCATATGGGGAAGGTACACAGACAAGAACCCTTCCACCACTGCAGAAAGGTCTACTGGGCAATGCTGTTCTATACGAGGGACCAGTACACTTTTTTCTGTAAAGGCCAGAAAGTAAATATGTTAGGCTTTGTGGGCCACATCTGGTTGCACTTTTTTTTTTATTTTGAATACTTTATTTTGAATGGTTGTAAAAATCATTCTTGGCTCATGAGCCACACAAAAACAGGCTGTAGTTTGCCTGCACTGGGCAAGCCCAGATTCTAGTCTTTTCCTATTTAGCTTTTTGTATGATACATTCTAATTTTTTTTTTTTTATCCTGCAGAGTTCACGGCATGGTCTAAATATCAGGAAATACTTATGGACTGATTGTCAGCAACTGTTAAGTGTTATTTAGGTGACATTATAGTCTAGACCAGTGGTTCTCAACCTTCTGGCCCTTTAAATACAGTTCCTCATGTTGTGACCCAACCATAAAATTATTTTCGTTGCTACTGTTATGAATCATAATGTAAATATCTGATATGCAGGATGGTCTTAGGCAACCCCTGTGAAAGGGGTCACGACCCATAGGTTGAGAACCGCTGGTCTAGATCATAGTTTCTAAGATACCCATGAAATTACTAAAGATTGTTGTTTATACATTTCCCTGTTAGCTGCCCTGTCTTCCTATTTTGGGCGCATGCTTATTAGCTCATTCATTCAGCAAATGACTGTTAAACCCCTCTGCTGTGTCGGCTTCTGAGCCATGTTCTAGGAAGGAGGAGCCACATGGCTTAACCACCAAATTTAGCAGGTTCTGCTATAAAGCTGTGCTATATTGAAAGGTACCTCTCAGTGTTTCAGTCCTTGGTAGAAAATATGCATGCTTTCAACATATTGTTAAGCTTGTGATCTGAAATAACTTCTTTCCCTCCCCCAATGGCAGGCTTTTGAATATTATTTCAACTCTAAAGAAGGGATCCATAGTCTGGCAAGAGGTTTTTGATAATAACGCAAAGGTGAGAAGTATGAAAACTACATTTGATTCTGATACTATGACAGGCTTCATGTTCTAATATCTCCATTCCCCAACACTATAGGGAAATTAGCTTCCTGTTCCATTTAAACTTTTATTAGGCAGTAGCTGTGCACTGAGGCCAATATTAATGGTGTTTGTTTCTTTTCTTCCATTTACTTCACTCTTTCATGCCTCCTCATCTTTTCCCTCATCCCCTGCCATCTCATTAATCACAAATGGGAGTACTTTGAAGCTCCTTTTTTTTTCAGGAAAGGGCAGAACAAACAGATAAGAACAAATGAGTCTTCACTGCTATTAAGGTAGTTTTAGGTAAAATTGCCAATGTACACTTTTTATTTTACATGGCATCTCTCTAATTCTTAGTCAGAATTCTTTATTTTCCTTTGGGGCAACTGAGAATTTGCACCTCCAGCAATTAGTATGAGCTTTCCCGAAGGGCTGTTGGCATCCTCACAGTTTAAAAGTAAGTAAAACAATAGTGTGGTAGGATGGGACTAAAGCCTTGGTTCATTACACCTGTATGATGTCATAAATAGACAAAAGTTAAGTATCCAACCTGAAGGTTAATGCAACTTCTAAATTTAAGTCTCTATAAGAAATAGCATTTGACACTAACTGAAGAGGAAGAGTAAAGATGACAACTTAAGTTTTTCAAGGATCTTAAAGTTATTTTCTAGTTACAAGTCTTGGACTTTAAATATCGCCTCCTGAATTTGCTAGCCCTAATATATATTGCAATTTTTAACTTTAATAGCTTCAGCCAGGCACTGTAGTTCAAGTATGGAAAGAGCAAAATTATGCTAAGGAACTGAGTTCAATCACAGCAGCTGGCTTCCCTGTGATCATCTCTGCTCCGTGGTACTTGGACAGGATCAGTTATGGACAAGACTGGAGACTATACTATGCAGTGGAACCTCTCAATTTTAGTGGTAAGTGAAGCAACATCATTACCCCGATTTTCTTCACTCCCCTCCCCGCCAGGAAATCCTTACCTCGGTATTACCTACTAACTCTCCTCCCTTTTATGTTTGATCCTTGGTTTTGTGTTTACTTAAAAAGGAAGGCCTCAGTATTATTTGAAATGTGAAATAAACCAAATCCTTACCTAAATAAAAGAACTTCAAAAGTGGATTCCCTTAGACTTTAATCTCAATTTTCACAGATGAGTCTTGTTACTCTCTACCTACATTTTTTCAGTCCTCACTTGAGGATATGTTATTACTGTTATTGTTTATTTTAGAGAGAGGAAGGAAGAGAGAGAAACAGCGATCAGTTGCCTCCCGTACACACCCTGACTGGGGATCAAACCCACAAACTAGGTGTGTGCCCTGATTGGGAGTAGGTGTTTAGGTAGTGGGTCTCTTTTTTACTACCAAGAGACAGAGATCAAAGACAGGAGTGGTGGTCACTAGTATTCCAATTTGTGTTCCCTGGTACACTATTCATAGGCAACCAGGGGAAAAAATGTTTCTGGTGACCAAATCAGTTTGCAGAAAACCAATATAAAATGGTATCTTTAATACGGGCCCACCACATAGTTGACACTTGCTAAAAAGCACTGTGTGAACCACAGGGTCGGGGGCAGGAATAAAGTTTGCCATCTTTTCTTGTGCCACTACCATGAAATCTCCCAAGATTCTGCTGACACAGGAGAAAAATGCAGCCCCGGGATATAGAGGCAATACTGACTTATCCTTCTGTTTCTAAGCCTTAAGCTGTAACTGCTAACGTACATCCAATGATTTTAATGTAGGTACTCAGGAACAGAAACAACTTGTCATTGGTGGAGAAGCTTGTCTGTGGGGAGAATACGTGGATGCAACTAACCTCTCTCCGAGACTATGGTATGGAATTTAAGTGATCACATCTGAATTAAGGTGCCTTAGTTTTCCTTCTCCATCCAAGTCGGAAAGCATTAGGAATTCTCTCCCGCCGCCACCGCCAACCGCCCTCCCACCCCGCAACCCCCCCACATAAGACTTAGATACTCACTTCTTTAAGAATGAATGAATTTAAAATGCTTTGGGAGACATATCTTTTACATTTTAGGCCTCGGGCAAGTGCTATCGGCGAGAGACTCTGGAGTCGGCAAGACGTCAGAAGTTTAGATGATGCCTACAGAAGACTAACAGTTCACCGCTGCAGAATGGTCCGGTAAGTCTGCTTTTCAAGCTGGGATATTATTAAGTCCAGGGTGACTTTTAACCTTATACACTGTTACTTTGCTTCTTGGGTATTTTTGCTATAAATAGAAATGTGTATAATCTAAGAAGTAGTGACTTAATAAGGGAATAATACCTACAAGAAGAAGATATATTTGGACTTAACAACTGTTTTATAGCTATGTTAAATTTGGACCTCCATCTTGAATCACTTTTAACAATCTTTTAAAAATAAGGAATGCTATGGTTGGTGATTCTGATTTAAGCTACTAAGTATTTAAGATGGAAATGAGTGATATCAATCTAAAACATCTTTTATTTATTCTCTATCTGTTCTACAGACGTGGAATAGCTGCAGAACCTCTTTTTACTGGATATTGTGACAATGTGTTGATTTGAAACTAGGAGGAGAAAAGGCCCAGAGCTATCTACTACAATCAACTTGGTTTGAAATCATGTAAAATTAAGATTTGGTACACTGTGTATAAATAAAATATCTTTGTATTGATTGATCTGCTATCTTACACATTACATATACAAGACTGGCATATTTTTGTGAGAGAAGCTTAAAAAAATAAAAATATAACTTGGTGATATTACTCAATACATTCCAAAGGGCTGTGTCTTTACTGACAGTAATAACCTCGGTATAGTTCAGGTACATTAACTCTCAACGTCAAAGCACATTTCTCATGACATAAAGTAGAATGGCAGCTATAATGCCACTGTCGATTTTAAGTAAGATTTTTCAGTCACTTAAAGAATGTACTGAAACAATTTATTTGTCCAATAAATAAAGCAATGAAAATTGTTCTTACTAAAAACGAACAGGCAGGTGCTCCTGAACTTCTCCCCAAGGACCCTGAAGCACTCAGGTCAAGCCACTTCTTCGGTTGAGCAGCGTGCTTTGGTCTTGAGGATTCATGGCTTGGTAATTAGAGAGTTCTAAGGTAAACGTAGCTGAGCCTGATGTTAGCGTTCGAAGCACAGTTGAATAACCCTAATCAAAACAATTTAAATCAGTTACCTCTTCCAATTTAAGCCTCAAATTTCTCTTCCTGCCACTTATCTTTTGACCATTACCAGAAAAGGTGATTAAGTAACTTAACGATATCACTTCTTCAAATAGTCACTGAATAATTTTTCTCAGGAAAAATTTGAAACGTGGAGGACAGAAAACACTGGTGTGTTTCGGGTATCTTCCCTGGTCCCAGCATCTGGTAAGATGCCTGCCAGCACTCAGGTGCTTGTTCTGGAGCAGAGAGGCTGGTGGTGGGAGAATGACACTTGCCTAAAAACTGGCAATTGAAGAAACAGGGTAAGAACTTGGAAGGGAAGAAATGGTAGGCTGGTGCCATGTTTTGGTTCAACACACCTCTACACCGTGGAGGACTGGAAAGGACCCCCATGCTGCTTGAATCTCCTACAATTTAAATTCAAAGTCCTAATAGTTCCCGATGGCTGAAACGGGACCTCAAAGCCCTGATGCTTCTTTCAGATGTCACTGATTCTCTTTTTGCTCAGCCTACCTTCCCTATATTAAGAACATGTACTTACCAGTGACACGGTACCTACCATGGTCTCTGCTAAGGGAACAAGCCCAACAACAACTCTGTTGTCCTGACGAGTCTGGATCTCCTGGATGCTCCCTCTTCTCTGTGCCAGGTCTGCCAGGACAGCGCTGAGGTGATCTCTAGTCACGGTGACCTCCAGGTTCATCAAAGGCTCCAAAATTTGCTTATCAGCGGTCTTCAGAGCCTAAAAATATTAAAGACTGCCAATCCATTTCTAAATTGGAAGTCAAATTTCTGTTTCAAAGTTTCCTTAGCTCAGCCAGGTGTGGCTCAGCGGTTGAGCGTAGACCCAGGAACTAAGGGATCACCAGTTTGATTCCCAGTCTGGGCATAAACCCAGATTGCAGACTTTGTCCCCAGTAGGGGGTGTACAGGAGGCAGCTAATCCATAATTCTCTCTCACATTGATGTTTGTCTCCTTTCCATTCTCTCTAAAAATCAATGGAAAAATATCCTCAGGTAGGGGTTAACAACAACAAAGTCTGAACTTTAACTTCTAGGGTAGAGATATTAAGTTCAGCCTTCTTAAGTCAGGAGCTTGGAGTTAATTTTATAATTACGGCTTCAAATAAGACTATAGAAACCCAGGTCTCACAGTATAAAATATTAGAAGATGGTTATAAAAGCAAGTATTTTAATGCAAAATCAGTCACCTACGAGGCTAAAGCATTCCCACACTGAGGAATGCATGGAGCCATTTCTTGGCATGTCAGGACCCTTGGGGTTAATCTGGCCCCAGTAGGTATTGGGTAACCATGCCAAGACGACCAGATTGCTTGATGCTTTGAGAAGGGAAGATGCTTATCCTGAATCTATTATGCAGCAATTCTTGATTAAAGTAATCTTACCTGAAAAAATAGAAACTCCAATACTGGAACCAACATTAGATCCTCAATGTCCTGTAGATTATAGTTCACCTTTGGCCAAGCTGACCCCGGAAATGTCTTCCACTCAAATCTACCATGCTTGTTTCTACCAGCTATGTGTCTGAAGTAGGTAAAGCAGAGCTGCCACTTAAGGAAACTTGACTATTTGTCAAAACCAAGGGATATTTCATAGCTAGCTATGTTAAACAGTGATTTCTTAGGTCCTCTTGCAAATAAAACCCAGTGATTGAAAAAATAAAAAAATTCTCCATGGTAAAAACTCTCATTGACCACAAGGCTCAGGAAGCAAAGACAAGACTGGCACTACAAGTACAGCTGCCGCGGATCAGAGTCCACTACTGTCAGAAGAGTCCCTTAAAGCAAAAAGGATTAGGGTAGTTACATACCTTCTGTACACATCTTGAGACACAGGCAGAAATCATAGTTGAGGAGGTACCAGGATGAATCATCAGTGAATGTAAAGTAACTGCCACATCTTGAATTGGGGATCCAAGCAATGGTCCTAGGCAAGGGGGAACATTTGTATTAGGACTCAATATACAGTGAGGTGTAACTCAGAAATGTAAAGAAACAGGGAGAGGACGTCCAGTGTAGCACGTAAAGAGCTTCCCTGGAAGTCACCACTCTGTCCTAACAACAAGTAGAAGGAAACCAGCCTGACAAATCAACAGCTCTTCTTGGATCTACAGGGTGGGAGGACAAAGGACAAACACCTGCTCCCAAGAATGGAGCGAGGGCAAATGCAGAGGGTCATGGCTTCCTGGAGCAAAGACTTACTAGAGAAAACGCCCAGGAACCAGCACCAGCGTAAGAAAAACTGAGCTGTCATTGACAAGTGACTAGAGGCTTGGTGTGGACAAGCTTGCGGGGAGCTATCATGAAGGGGACACAATTCTGTGAGATCTACCTCTAGGAGCTCAAGCAGGTTCTCACAGTAACTATCAGAGAAAAGCCTCCTGGTGCTTCGTGGGGGAAGAAGAAAAATAATTTTGAAATACAGTTGACCCTTGAAAATGCAAGGAATTTAGGGGAACCGACCCCAAGCAGACAACAACCTGCATGTAACTCCTGACTCCTTCAAAACTTAGAGTTGGCCCTGTCTCCTTTGCATCCTTGGATTCCACCAACTACAAATCAGAACAGTGCTTCAGGCCCTGGCTGGGTGGCTCAGCTGGTTGGAGTGTTGTCCTATACACTGAAAGGTTGCAGGTTCAATTCCCGGTCAGCGCACATACTAGGTTGCAGGTTCGATCCTCAGTTGGGGCATGTGTGGGAGGCATCCAATCAATGTTTCTCTCACATCGATGTTTCTCGCTCGAAGATCAATTTAAAAAATCCTTGGGTGAGGATTGAAAAAACAGCACTTTAGACTTCAGAGCACTCTTTTCATTTCTAATTTATTGATTTTGAGAGAGAGGGAGAGAAGAAAGGAAGGAGGGACAGAGAGAGAAACATCGAACTGTTGTTCCACTTAATGCATCCATAAGTTGACTCTCGTACTAGTATGTGCCCTGATTGGGGAATAAACCTGCCACCTTGGTGTAGCCAGATGATGCTCTAAAGAACTGAGCTAACTGACAAGGGCCAGAGCACACTCTGTTCCTAACAAGGCCTGCACTCAGGGGAACCTAGTTAACCAAAGCCTAACCTGCACGGGTATCGTCATCATCAGAGCCTGATGGGCAAAGTACCCTATGCCAGTGCACTCTCGCCATCCTGGCCCCACTAAGCGGAGTGAAAAACAAACAAACACGTGTGCAGCTGACAGTCCAGAGGCACAGGTTCATAAAGGACGGAGACCTAATCCTAGGACTGTAGAAGGCTGCCCGTCCCCATACCTCACTACATCACTACTAGTAAATGCCTGCTTACAGCAGTTCCTTTTACCCAGTATACCATGACTGGCTATCAAGAAAAAATTACAAGGCATATTAAAAGGCAAAAAGCACAATTTAAATAGAATAAGCTTCAGAACCAGACACAGCAGGGATATTGGGATGATCAGACCTGGAATGTAAGTCAGCTATGACTAATGTGCTAAGGGCTCTGACAGATAACGCTGACAGCATGTAGGAATGGATGGGCATAGAGCAGAGACAGAGGGAAGTCCTGATTAAGAACCGAACAAATGCTGGAGCTCAAAAGCACCATCACAGAAACAGGGATGCCTCTAATGGGCTTACAAGTAAGTAGACGGGACAGGCTGAGGAAACTAGTCTCCGAGTCAGCCCTAGCCAGGTGGCTCAATTGGTTAGAGAATCGTCCTGTACACCAGTTTGATCCCCAGTCGGGACGCATATGGGAGGCCACCGATCGATGCATCTGTCTGTCTGTCTGTCTCTCTCCCCCTATTTCTGAGTTATACATCAGCAGAAACCTCCAAAACTGAAACAGCAAACTGAACATAAGACTAAAAAAAAAAAGAACAGAATATCCAAGGACGATGGGATAATTATAAAAGGCATAACATACACATGATGGGAAGAGAGACTGAAATAATCGGTAATATTGGGAGTGACTGATTGTGATATTCATGCTTACTCTTATCCAAGGTACCTTACCTTGGAGGCATGCACTGTGAATTCCATTTTCAATGGCCTCTTGGGAGCCCTTCAAAATGTCTTCACTAATACTTGCAGCATACTCGATAGCTGGCACAACAGATGATGTTTCAGTTGGCTTTGCTTCCAGTTCAACAGTCACAAGGTGCCGTTTATCTCCTAAAGTTCTATCTAAGGTATCTGTAAACGAATATACAGAGATTTGTTCTGAAAAGGTGTCAAGGTGCCACAACTGGGAAAACTGCAATCAACAAGTTCAAGCTCTCATGGAAGACAAAGTGTGAGAAAATACTAACAATGGCACTAAATGCAGTATAAAAATGTCCAAGTACGGTAAGGAGTTCTACCAAGAAAATATCTGCTTTCACGTTTATCAATGCTATAAGCCTGCTCTGAATCACCAACTAATACTGTTTTAGTTAAGATGCTCTGAGGCAGATGATCACACAAATTTTGATATGCAGATTATACTCAAACTTTTTGAAACATCTCTTATGTGACTGAAATTCTAATCACAGAAGTTTTATTTAAAAGTAAACATTCAGAGTGCAAAAAGTCATCTAATGAAAATTAAAAGGGCATTATCCCTGATAAAACGTACACAGTTAAATCTCAGATATTCTTCTAATAATATGTATTTGAAGTTTATGCTTCCCCCCAAACTAGTGAAATGTCTTTTTGTAAAACTGAAGATTTCAGAGATACTGAAAATAGTATCTCTCATTAGCTAACAACCAAGAGCTGTCACCAATCTGCAGTATTTTACTAAAACAAAACTGCTATATTTATATGACTATATAATGCAGTGATTCATGGTCCAAATTCAAAACAAGTAATTATAGTCTACAATTCCTCTTCTTAATTTTTTTTTTAAATTCTCACCCAAGGGTATTTTTCCATTTATTTTTAGAGAGAAAGAGAAAGAAATATTAATCTGAGAGAAGCACATGATTGCTTGCCTCCTGCGTGATCCCTGACCAGGGCACCGGGCCAGGGAGAAAGAAGCCTGCAACCGAAGTACAGGCTCCTGACTGGAACCGAACCTGGGAACCTTTGGTCCGCAGGCCAATGCTCTATACACTGAGCCAAATCGGCCAGGGCCATAATCCCTTTCTAAGCTAACTTTTATATTGTGAATTATTTTATACTTACAGCTATGTGCATAAGCTGAAAATAAAATGAACATTCAAGAAACCTATAATTACTAAAGAAAGAGAACACCTTCAGTAACCTAGAAACCTTCTGAAGCAACCACTATCATGACATCATATTTAATCACTGATTTTTTTTAGAGTTGTATCACATATGTATGTATCCCTAACCAATATAGTTTATTTCTGCTTCATTCTGAACTTGTTTATTGTTATGTATACTGCAACTTGCTTTTTTTTGGCTTCACATTAGTGGGTCATACAGGCTGATATGTGTTGATAGAGCCCATTATTTTTTATTGCTATATAATATTTCATTGTCTGATCATGGTACCATTTATCTATTCTTCTGTCCACAAATAGTTGGGCTATTTTTTCACTTACCTTTTTTTTTTAAAAAAAAAATATTATTATAGCCCTATTGTGAAGATCGGTTTGTCTTTCTATGCACATGTATAAACATTTCTCTAGGGTACATACCTAGGAGTGGAACTGCTGAATAGTATGGTATGAACAGGGTCAACTCACAAGAAGGTTGCCAAACTGTTTGCATGGTGGTTATACAATTTAGACTCCCATAGGAATTTCCAAAGCACAACATCTCACCACTTCGCATTGTCAGGTTTTAATTCCTCCCAATTTTGTTTATATAAAATGGTGTCTCATATTCTTGCATGATCCTAATCATTACTGAGATTGAGAATCTTTTATTTAATATATTCATGTGCCTTTTGGGTATCATCTTTTGTGAAATATCTGTGCAATATTTTTTGCTCACTTTTCTACTTTGTTGTCAGGTTTTTCTGATCTTTAGAAATTCTTTATACATTTTGGAAACTAATCTTTTAATTTATATGATGCAAATATCTTCCCTTAGCTTTCTGTATATCTTTTTGCTTTATCATCTATTCTAATAAACAAATTATTAATTTTAATAACATCAAATTTAGTAAACTTTACTTCAACATTTCAATGTTTGGTATTATGTAAGTCCAACCCCATCCTAGTTAGTAAAGTTATTCCCCTATATTTTCTTCCCAAAATTTGAAGGTTTGCCTATAATAAAGTTTATGGTTTTTAATTTTATTTGGTATATATTAGCACTTATTTCCTTTATATTTTGTGCTCTGAGGGATATTTTGCAGTTCTTTCATATTTAGGTTTTTACACTCATTTGGAATTGACTTTTGTGAATGGTATTAAGTAGGAATCTAATTAAGTCTTTTTCCATATGGATAATTATCCCAGGGCATTACTGAATAGTCAGTCCATCCTTTCCCATTGACCTGCAATATCACTCTGACATAAACCCAATTCCCACATTATGTATGAGTCTGTTTCTAGGCTTTCTGGATTTGTTCTACTGGTCGATTTATAGCTTGATTAGTATCATGAAGACTATTGGCTTTATAATAAGTATTAATGTCGGATATACTTCTTTGAGTAGAATTGATAGCATCATATTTAGTCTCCTTGTCTATGAACAGTATGATTTTCCATTTTCTGGATGTACACAATGCCCATCTGCCCTTCATTATCAATAGTAATTTGATCATCCAGTCAAGGTGTGGTCCGATTGTGCAGCATCCAGTTACTTTTTTTTTAACCTTGTCACTAATAAGCAATCTGTGGGTAGGTATTTTAAAACCATGCAAATATGCTACTCAACCATGTACCCAACATTAAGCATTCACAATGCAAAATGACTATTTTCCTGCCTCCTTGACAACTAACAGCACTTGGCATTCCACTATAAGGAAGAACCCTCTCTTCTTCCCCACGTATTTGTTTATTATGATTAGAGATTCCTGAATTCCTACTTTTCCTAATTCCAGTGGTCTATAATTACTGTATTTAATTATTCTGATATTCAAATTAACCCAGCTTTGGCCAATGGAGCCTCTACAAGTTGGTTCTTGTGTCCTTATGACATGCCCTCATAATTTTTTGAGCATTTCCTTTCCTTCTTACACAAGATGATGTTCCATTGCCTGCTTATTTTTGATGTCTTGTTCCTTATCAATACTTTCCTTTCCCTTTTATTTCTTCAAAAAACAATATACTTATTTTATATTCTGCATCTGATAATTCCAATTTCAGAGGCCTTTGCTGGTCTGACGAATGTTTGTTGCTTCAATTGCCTTTTTGCTCATTGTGCCTTTTCTCATGATTTTATGATTTTAAAACTTTTAAAAGTGCGACTTCATATTTGTTTTTCTGTGGAATTTTCTTTGAGGCCTGGGCTGAAGATACATTTATGTAGAGAAGCCCTTTGTGTGTTGTCACCAGGTTCCTGGGAATACTGCCAACCCATGAGAGCACTATACGCTAAATTCTTCTTGGTTTGGAGGTTTTCAGGTCATTCTGATTCTATAAATTTAGGCTGAAAGCCCCATCAGAAGTCTATGGTTACAGATTCTTAGAATTTCTGTCCCTTGCCCCCAGAGCCAGTTAGACAAGTTTTCTTTTATGAAGGAGATTTTCCTTGTTAATTATTTCCCTGAGGATGTGGCCCTCATATGTAGTGGCGTTGGTGCTAACTTATTTTTCAAGGTTACTGCC